GGCAGGGGCTCCCCGGTAAGCGGAGGGGGGCTGCCTTGGGTGGGGAGGAGGCGGCCCGTGGGCTTGCTGCAGCGTGGGGGAGCGAGCGCCAGGGCCTGCTGCCTGGGCCGCGGCGGGGTGGCGCTGCCCTCGGCGAGCTCGCAGGGAAAAGTTTAGGTTAAAGTCGGTTCACATTCGGGCACTTACCCCTCGTGAGCCGCCTGGCTGCTTTCAGGCGAAGCCCTTGCTGCTCACACTGTCACAGATGGCTGGGACGGCGTCCCGCCGAGTCGGAGCTCCGTAGGGGCTGTGGGGGTAACGCCTCTGGGCTTAGCGCTTTAGCATTTGTACGTCTAATACGGATTTTTATTTTTCTGGCACTATTTTTAGCAAACAAGTCGCTTTTTTGGTTGGCTGATTTGCCAAGCTCTTTCTATGCAATGAGCTTCACAACCTTAGACTTGGTGGTCTGTGTAATTTCAATTTAACAGTTGCCCTTATGGTAGATGCAGTCTGACAAGCTGCATAAGGGAGATTTTCTAAGTTCTATGACTAAAAACAGTTTAGAGAGGACTGTTGACTAGTAAAATCTGTCCGATATAAATTTTCTGGTGATTCAGGATATCAACACAAACATAGGTGGAATTACAAGTAGACTTGGTCTTGAGGTTCTGGTTTTGGTGGGGTTTGGGATTTTTTTCTGTTGCTTTTGTTTATTCTTGAATAAACCTGCTTTATAAACTGCTGAACGGTATTATAGTAATGATTCTTTTGCTTTTTTTCCCACAGCAGGAAGATGTCTTGAAGTAAAGAGGTAAGTTAATTTTGTTCTAAAGTGCAAAGTTGTTAAGAAAGTTCCAGGCCTTTACTTGCATGCGAATAACAGTAGTTAAATACAGGACTAATAGTCGAAAATGACCTGTAATAATGACATTTTAAAGCAAGTGAAAAACTAATTAAAGATAACATTAAGTTAACAAAGTTAGTGCCTTTCATAAGCAAAGGGGGGAAATGTACAACTGTTGGTTCAGGATGAAACAATTACTCTGTTTTAAGTAATCAAATTTAAAAGTTGTTGGCTGTTGATGATGATAACCCTGAATAGGAAGTGCCGTCAGATCGAGAACTGACGATAACCTTCTTTCTTGTCTGAAACACAGCTACATGCTTGCAGTGTTTGAAATTTGTCTTCTAGAGTTAATTGGGAAACTTTGGTTTATACTTTTTTCTATGAAAAGTGCTCTTGCAGTACCTAATGTAGCTTCACGTTCATCTGTTTCACTTTATCTGCAGAGCCTGGTCTGTCCAGACAAAGGTGACACACTTCTGACTGGAAGTGAGTTTGGCCCTAATGTGAAGGTAAGTGATGAGCTTCACTAGACCCTGTATTTTCATACCAGATGGAATCTGGTATAAATGAGGTTTACAAGCAGACAGAAACTTGAGAGGCGTAGTTTGTAGGTTCAAACTTTATAGCTTAAATTAATCTGCTTTCCCTCCTCTCTTCCTCAAAATTTAAAGCCCTGTGCTGCTTATTTCCAGGCATATCTATATTTAGATAGAGCTTGCAGGTTTTGACTGTCATGTTCCAATTGTTACTGATGTCCACCAATTGATATTACAGCTCTTCACAAGTCCTGTGTAAGGCAGAGAGACAGCAAGAGCAGGAGATACTGCTCGGTGAGTTTAATATTTGGTGTAACATTACTTCTACGTGATGCTTTTTGGCTACAGTCTCAGAAACATTATCTAGTTGAGATCATTCTCATTGGCTATGTTTCTATTTCTGTATATTCTTAGGTCTAAAAGTATAATTAATGAAGTTCTAGCATAAAAAATATTTTATTAGACTTCAACATGGGCAGTAAATGTTTTAAGAACTGCCTTCTGCACTACGGTTTTGCAGACAGCACTCTAGAGCAAAGGGATAAAGGTCTTGCTTTTGCTAGAAATCTATCAATTTACCTCAAGATATCATATGATGAAACTAACCAAAAATTGCTGGAATTACCGGCAGATTGACTGGTGGTGAACAAAGGTTTTTCTGATGATATCCCTTACATTAACTTATGGGTTCATAGGTAGTGTTGAATGGTTAACTTACCCATGCTGTTGTATTGCAGGTGTTTATCCTGAAAACGTCTGAGGAAGAAGGAATCTGCTAAAACATGTACGTGAGCCTCGGGACTTGTGTTTGTATGCACCACCTATTTTTCTGCATTAAGAAGTTAAGAAATGTTAACAGTTACAGTTTTGATTACACATTAAAATTTTCTCAAAAACCCCCAACTGGGTCTGTTTTTGTCATTACTTTGCATTAAGGGATTATTTTCCATTACACAAGACATTTTTTACAAACATGCTGAGCCACTCCTATAATTTGCTATAATATGATAAAAATCATATACACTGCAGTGTAATTACTGTAGAGAATGTAAACAGGTTTTATTTGTGTAAGCATTCTGTGTGGCATTGGGTCATTTACTTGCTTAAACAGTTTAAAGAGGTGATACTGCTGCTTTAATTACTGGAGAGATGAGGCCTTAAATACCCCTAACAGCAAGAAGAGCAAATGCAACTATTCCTGTATCTTGTTCCAAGCTTGCTATTTCTTCATTATTTTGGCCTCAACCTGTCTTAAAGTCTGCTACAGTGGTAGCAGAATGGGTTCCTGCAGCAATAGCATTCTAGGCAGTATTCTGCATTTCTTCTAAATAATGGTCCAAATGTGCAAATCTAGAACTAAATGTGGAGAAAGGGAGGAGAGACTCTGTAATTTGTTCTTCAGCGTCACTAGCAAAATGAAAAGGGTGCTTTTGTGATAATGATTCATTCTAAGATTGGTCTAGAATGGAGGTTGATTAAAAAAGTTTTGGGGTAGACTTGGCGACTTAAGGTGCTTAAATGAGAAAAACGGCATCTGAGACTGAAACTCCCAATTAGACTCACTAAGTCAATGTAACTGATGGGCTATTACACTTAAGTGCTATTTTTATATTTATAGGAGAGGCGTGGAATGTAAGAGTTTTCATCAAAATGAGTGATTGAGGGTGTCCACTGAGACAGACTTAACAATGCAGATGTTGCTGAACGTTTTGCCCACTTGGTGTCACCAAGTGAAAGATTTTAGTATAGTCTTTAGAGTATGCTTTTTGAAAAAGGTAAACATTAATATAAACTAATTCCTTGTGAGTGCGTGCTCATTCTGTGCCAACAAGAGCCGAAGTAATGTTAACTAGCTCCAAGTAGAAGATCCTTTGGTACTCTGAAAGTGATGAAACTTTTACCCAATTGGAAATTTTGCTGGAGGGGGTGTGGCTAGGGAAAGGCCAGTCAGGACAGCCAACAAAACAGTTGAAAATGGGAGTTTGTCATGAGTGATATTCTTACTGTAGTAATTTAGATGAACAGTTCTTGGTTTTCATAAAATAAAAAGCAGGATAGAGCTTTACCCAGTGGTTTGTAGTCCAGAAAACCCCTCTCACAGTGCAAGCTTGCTTATTTTTGTGATGGGTCATATGAAAAAGGAGTGGTGAGTGGAACATAAATGTTATTTCAGTCCTGGGTTACAGACTTCAGGGACTGTCTCAGCTGTGACTGCACTTCCCTGTGTAGTTTAGGTAAAGACCTGAATCCGTTTTCTTGACTGTTAAATCTCCTGACTGATAACCTGGAAGAAAAGATGATGCTATGGCTTGTTGCTGCTCATCTGGCATCCCAGGGCAGTGTCCTTGTCCCTCCAGTGGCACGGGTGAGCCAGGCTGACTGATGGCTGTGGAACTACTACGTGTGTCTGCTTGGAACATAAATTGTATGAAATGTGGGATTTCACAGAGGTTTCTCATTCAAAAGTCAGTTCTGTAATTACGGAAGAATGGGTTTGATGTTTTTCAGAGAAATGTTAAAAAGCAATAGTGTCTGATACTATAATGTACAGGTAAATTAATTGGGATTTTTCCTAGGAACATTACTGTGAAACGTGCAGGGTTTAATATAAACATTGAATTTGGGTAATGGAGTATGCAAAACTTGTTTGGAGCTAATTCCTTTCTATCTGAATTGTATTTGAGCAGTGTGAGCAGGTTGCTCCAATGTTTATTTTAATTAAAATTTTAGAGTTACATTCTCTTCCAAGTGTTTAATGAAACAAAACTATTTTTGCCTGATTTAAAGAGCTTGTTTATTAGAATGTGTTGACAGAAGGCATTTTTTAGCTGGTATGATACACACTGGAAATAAAAATGCTTTTAAATGTTTCAGAGTACAAGGAGTCCACCTTCTTTTTTTCAATGAGATTGTAATGATAATGGAGGTAAATGTGGCCACATGCCCTCAGTAAACAAGCAGCTTGGCAAATTTTTGCTTGACTGTTTAATGTGCTGTTTAATTTGCTCGAGATAGGTTTGCATCAATTACAACTATTTGTAATTGTTCTTTCTAGTATGTTAGAATTGCCTCATTACAATATAGAAGAGTTGATCTGGGAATAGTTCTATTAACAGGAAAAGGTTTATCTGGGTTTATTGAGGTTACAGGTTGGTGGTACCTATTGCAGTTAACTGTTCATTAGTTTCATTTTAGTATTACTTGTTTATTTTTCTCATCAAAACCAAAATTCCTCGGCAGGGATCCTCTAACAGGCTGGTTTTAGCTAAGATGAATGAATAGAAAAGCGTTATTCCTATTAAAATATGGTGCCTTTAGAACAAAGTAGGTGTCCTAAACATACTACTATAATCTTACATGGGAGCATATATAATCCTACTATTTAATTTACAATGCCTGGGGGGAGGCAAAATAAAATAATTCTGTTTTGATTACATTTGGAACACATCAATTTTACAGTGTTGGGGAATAAGCAACAGAAAAAAATCCTGACTTTAAAATACAATTGTTTTGGATTTTCTAAAGGTTTAAGAGAACAGTTGGCAGGACTCCCTGGCACTTAACAACAACCAACAACCATGGATAAATCTAAAATAGATGAGAGGATTAGAGCAGAAAGGAAAAAAATACCTTGTGCAGTGAAGCTAAGAGTGGCTGAGTGCCAGCTTTTAGCAATATGAGATGGCAATGTCATATAATTAATCTGTGAGTGAAAACAGTGACATCCACAAAATACATTCTGCAACTGCTGACCTGATGGAGAGCAACTACTCTGGGTAATAGTCTTGCCATTTGTGTCTTTCCTTCAGTACTGAGATGATGTAGAGGATGCCAGCTGCAAAAATCTCTTCCGTGATGTGAATACGCATTTCGTAGTAATGAGACACAAATCCTCAGGCTCCTTTTTACGTAAGGCACTAAATGAGATGGGATGGGACTGACCTGTAATCTCTGTTCAGGGAGTTCGTGGTGTGACTGTGGTAAGAGGCATGAACTGTGGGCAGCTCATCGCACGTCACGTTTGAGGTAGAATGAATTAGAGTGGACATTGCACAGATGGTTTCCTTGCTTCTGCTCGGGGAAAGTGCATTGGTTTCATCCTTCTTTCCCATGCTGTATGAAAATAATGAAGGACAAGTGTGGTGTGGCTTGTGTCATCGGGTGGAGAGGCATTACTGTGGGGAAATGGCTGCCTTGGAGTACTCCCGGTTTCCTTTTAGTAAATCATAAGCTTCACATTTCATATAAATGCTGGTTATCATCATTTCTTGATTAGTATTATAAAGCAATCTTATCTACATCAGCATTAAAATAATTACTCATGCAAAACCATAAATTACTATAATATATCCCAGCTATTAACTAAAAACTAAAGGTGTGGTTTTTCTTGGCTTGGTAGCTGCTGGTTCAGCTGGATCAGTTTTAGCAGGCTGTATCCACTGAATGAGAAGGGAGGAAGGGGTGTACTACATATCTTGCCTTTTTAGTTCTAAATTTTGAAACTTCCCTCCTTTTCTCTTGAAGGCAGATGGAAGAACAGTTACTTTTCAACTTTTCTCTCCCTCATTTCAAATTGGTGAAAGACAAGCCACTAGCAAAGGAATTGCTGTTTACTAGCAAGGAACAACTAAGATGATAATAATGTCATTGCAAGGAAAATTTGTGGGTTTGTTCTCTTCCAGCTGCCACACTAGCAAATGCTTTGTCTGTTATAATTTCTCAGCTGCTACAGGCAGTGACTCGAGTTGCTCTGAGCAGAGGGAAGGCTCAGAATAGCTGGGAGGCGTTTGGCCTTTTTCACAGTTGCTCAGGCTCAGAAGTCTCCATAGCACCTGATAAAACTTTGTGCTGCCAAAGCTTTATCATATTTCAAGTGTTCCTGTAAAGAAGGACAAAGTCAACACATTGTTCAGTGGTCTGGGAGGACAAACACACCTTACTTTGTCAGCTCATGTAATTCAGTGCCTCATCTTTATGCTTAAAATAAAAATTTTAACCCAAATGTTATGAACTGATCCTAATACTGCTTAAAATTGTAAGAGTTTTAACAGGTGGAATTTGATTTAGAGCATGCAAGGAGAACATTTTAAAAACAGTATAAACATTTTGTGTTCCTTTAATTCAGGATTTGCCCTGTTTTACCTCCTGACACTCAAGCCCACAAGATGGTGCAGTGATCAAGTAGAGAAAGATTTTTTGCAGCCTTGGAAGATACTTGTTTGGGGAAACATGGTTTTACTGCTGTTTTTTTCCCAGCTGTCTAATAAGATTTGCAACTTTCATTAACATGCAGAGAATCCCCCGCACAGTGAAAATATCACTCGTTAATTGGCTGTTAATAATGTTTCTTAAGTGTAGGACCAGCAAAGACTGAGCCTCCATTTTCTTTGACACAATGCGAACTGGTGGCAGTAACCCCAGCCCCAAAGCTTTTCTAGTCTAAGCAGGCAGCAGGTGACACGAGTGCATGAATAAACGGTGTGATGAGGAGCCAAAGGAGTTAAAATTTAGTTTTCTTCATAAAAATATGGCGTGAAGAATTACTTGCTCTTCCTTACCTTTCACTCAAATGCACGGAGCCTCAGGACTTGCAAGCCCTGCTGCTTGCTAAAGCCCACGACTTGCGGAGCAGCAAAGCCCTGCTGTGTCTCCTTGGTGGTGGGTGTCGAGCTTAACTCAGCTGAAGTCAATAAACACCTCACAGCCCAGCACCTGTGTGTGGAACTGTAAAACCTGAGCAAAATACAAATGAGCAAATCGTTTATGCAGTGGAGACTGAATTTGAAATCCCTGCTGTTTTAATCAAGTTGAAATGTTAAAAGTTTCATCTCCCAATAATTAAGACCTTTCCTGTGTGTACTTTTTTTTGTTAGACTCTTGGTAGTTTTTGCAAGTCACTACTTTAGATTTTTTTTTTGTAACAGGGTTTTTATTTGTAATGGTTTGCAGTAAAATAATCATATAGCACAGCTGCAACATGAACTCTCTAAACAAATTAAATAATGATCCATATTTCTACAGCTGCCTATGGTTTTCTGGTGGGGTTTCTAGTTTTTTATAATTTTAATTTATTTTCTAGCTTTTTGAATGGCTTCCTTGTACTTTTCCAGATCCTGTAGGAGGATAGCTTCTTCAGGTTGGGTTGTCTTTGTTTTTCTCGTATTCTGTATGCATGATAACGGCATTTGATGATTTGTCTTGGCTGCGAGTTTGTATTGGGTGCTGTTATTAATGGTGGAATAGGTTTGATAGCACATTCTGAGACAAACTTCTTAGATAAGTTTAAGCTTATCATCTAGATAATAAATTTTCCTGAACAGCTTAAACTTTATTAATAAATAACTGGGTCAAGATACTAGTGTTATCAAATACTTCCTATAGTCATTTGGTTATCAGAGCCCTTATCTGACAGCAAATGCAATACTAGTGTTCAGGTGATCTGTGAATTTGTCCAGTTTAACGTGGCCCACAACGACAGCAGATCAAATGCTTAATATAATGCTTCCCATCGCTTGTGCCCCCATCAGATAATCTTGAAATGGTCTGCCAGCGTTCCTGTGAAGCCATACTACTGCCTCATTGCAGATAAAGAAACTGAAGATCAGAGCCTCGGTGGGGTGGGTGAGAAAAGGGAAGGCCAATTTAGTCAGTTGTTGGATAAAGCAATCTTACTTAACTGTGTCAAATCAGATATTTATTGCCTTCAACTGTTGCAGTAAATAATAAAATCTTTGTGCTGAGTGCTCCTCGGGATGTGAAATACATAGGATACCTGCTGTGAAGATGATGAGAATTGTTTCAAAGCGAGGTATGAACCCGGAGCTTTGAAATGCACAGCGATTTCAGAAGGTAATGGGAAGACGCAGTACCAAGGTATGTGCACTTTGAATTTGATTTAATATGTATCCAGTCATCTCCCTAAACAGCCTGTACGCTTCTGTACTGGGGGAGGAAGATGCTCTGTGTTTGCAAGAGGCAACATAAAGCTTTTGTGTCAGCGCCAGGTTGTTCGGTAGTCCAAAATGGGAGACCACATCAAGGAGAAAGTATTTCAAAGCTACTGCTTTTAAGCTTCAAAAGGGTCTTTGGAGATGACAGCACCACTGTGTCACCTGGCAGTGTATCAGCAGCTCAGAGGCTAAAGCTAAGAAGAAGGGTTTCGGGGAGGAGAGCTCAACTGAGATAACAGCAATGACACCAACATTGTTTGAAGAACTGATTGAATGCCCAGAGCTGGTCATATGGATGAAGGGACAGCTCTGGTCTGATGACTGCCCCTGCTCTGGGAGGCTGTTGGTAAAGTTCAGCCCGTTTTGGGGGTTGGTTTCTCTAACGGTTGTGTGAAAACTTGTTTGTTAGCTTGTGTCTTTGGAGAGAGTTTCTGGTACAGAGAGGTGGAGAAGGCTGCTCTGCTTCAGAGAAACTCCTCTTGTCAAGCTAGCAGCAGCTTAAGATGCTTGGGTTTGCAGATGGGATGCTGCAAAATACATGTGAAGTACACGGAGGAAATTTGAGAGAAAGTGGCAGTAAAGTTACAGTGTACTGTGGGAAACTTTCCATCTTTAGCATTTCTGGAGAGCATGTTCAGGAGCCTGGTCACCGTGGGTGCAGATTTTTGGTCAGTTTGGAGAGGATATTTGTGCAGAACTCTTTAAGTACAAAGTAAGGTTTAAACTGTCACACGCAGTGAAGGCTTTTTACCAAAGCCCATGGGTTCATCCTTCACAAGCAGGTCTT